TACTCCAGCATCCCGATGTGAAAGTGTGGAAAGATTGCCCACTCACCGGAAGCGCAATCTTAATGAGCATATAGAGATCCTCAGCTGACCGGAGGTCCTGTGCAGGTACTGCCGGGTACTATGATGATCCTCAGGTGGTCCCTCAGTTTGGGTGGCAGGTAACAGGAATACTGGTCTGGTCTTAGGACTTACTTCCTAGGCCTGGACAGGTCGCCTGGAATCCTGGGCTGAGGTGTGGAAGCTCAGTGCAAGGCAATAAAGATATAGGTGCTCATAGTGTAGTATTCCAAAGGATTTATTAAGTATGAATTAGTAATGTATCAAACGCAAGCATAGATGAATAAAATGAATGTACAAGGTGACTGTGAGTAGTGGTAGCATGAATAGCTGAATACACTGACCAGTGTGAACCATAAGCTGGCCGCCGAACCTCCTGATCTGTCAGAGTGCCGTCAAGGCTTGCAAGGGCTCATCCTAGACGCGTTTTGTGTAAAGACACGTCTGCTGTAGGGGTGATGCCAACTGCTTTCAGCAGTTGGTGGTATTAGTCAATAGCAAATCGGGTGGCGCCTATGTGCTAACGTCAGGCCGCCACGTCCGCGATCCGGAGCGGCAGCCATCTTGCTATGTGATATATTGATTGCTCCAAGTGGAATGTTTTTATGGAATATATTTTTATGAATATTAAAAATACTACACTATATTTCAACCCCTGGGCTCCATATGGTGAGCATCTCTCCTTAGGACCTAACCAGACTGTTATAGTTGCTGGAGAGTGGATGGCATAGACCTTCTGATATACATGCTACTGAGCAAGTAGCTCTCTGGTGAGTGCATAGTGGTGGTGGATCGTACACTGGATATAGAGCACTGTGTGGGACTGAACACTATCTGCTGTGATTGATATCACAACTTCACAGACATAAAGATTTATATCGGAAGGACTTTATTGATCACTATTCTGTTGTTGGCTACACTGAGACCTATTTAGATTTATTTTGCTTTCTGTCAATGATTTGTTTTATTATTCACTTGATAGTTTTTTCATGCGCTGCACAGTTTTTATTTAAGTTGGTAGTTTTGGAAGGATTTTCTACGTTAGTCACAGGCAGAGAATTGGAGGACAACAGTTACAAAGCTACCAGAGAGACACCCAATGCCACTATTTCATTTATATGGAGTGCTTTGGTTACACTCCCTGAGTTGAGGAGCTCAGTGTAATAAAGAAGAGGGCGAACATGACTGTGGCCTGTGGAGGAGGTAAGGTTTTGGATATGGTTATAGTCTAGGTCTGTGGAGAAGAAGCAGTCATGGGTGGCCTGGAAAGTATGTTTCTTTGTCAGCTTTGTGCAGCAGCAGTGGCAAATGCGCCCAAGGGCTCCAAGCACATATCTGTGATATGCTGCAGGAATCCAGGTGGGTACCCTCAATGCCCGCGCATGATTGCCCATAAGACAAGAGGTATAAGTGTTCTGTCCCTGAGGCGAACTCTAGGAATTGGTACCACTCTGGGAGCCCCACAAGGGACCCTCTGATGCCTCCAGCTAATAAACCACCATTTTTTTAGTGGTGTGAGGTTCCAGAAAAATCCCTATCACATCCAGAGCCTGAGGGGAGTGCCACCGCTGCCACTTTCTCTCAAGCCCATCCTTCTGTGCACCCGGACCTAACCGTGTGAGAAGGAGAGCTTGGACAGCTTCCCCAGAGCCGCTACACGCTTATGCATGATTTACACTTTTTGGCTGCTGGCTATATATTAAATGGTGGTTAGCATACTTGCCTGGAATTCAAATGTGATTGTGTTTTTAGTCAATGGGCATTTGAAAAAAGTTCATTTTAGGAAGAACTTTGGTTTACATAAAATAAAACAGGCTATTCCTTTTTAAAAAAGAAATGTTGCAATAACTATATACAAGCAATTAACACTAATAATTATTTTCATTTTCAGGAAACAGAATAAAGTGGTAGTAAACCGCACCTAAAAAAAAAAAAAATCCCCTGCAAGGGGATACTAGCACATGATAAACGAATCCCTGCAGCGGCACACTGTCACCGCTGCAGAAGCTTCCATCTACACCCAGTCTTCCTTTCGGATTCGTGAGCTTCGGCCGTCTGACTGGCTGAGCCGCAATGATGTCACTCCCACGCATATGCGGTATGCTGTTCCTTCGGAGCGCATGCGCCAGCTCTCAAAAAAGAGCGACTATCTCCTAAATGATTCACTTTATTATAACCTTGCATGTAGGTAAAATTATACAAAAAGAGTTTACTACCACTTTAAATTGCAGTCCTAACATAGAGTTTTATGCCTGTGCCCACATATGTCATGTTGAATATAAGCAAAAAGAATTATGGGAGCAAAGCTTCTAATCTGATTCAGACCTGCTTGTCTATGACATGTTAAGGAGGAGTAATAATCCCATAAAGGTTTATTTTTTTTTTCTATTTTTGGGTATGAGCCAAGTGTTTTATTTTTTTAAAGGGCTATTGTTGCTTTAACAGTATTTATTTTTTTTTAGTTCTGTAGTGGGATGGAAGACCCTTTAAGTTTGGGTACTGCTTTAAAGTGAAGCTCCAGACTCCCCCCAACAAATCAAAAGACAGCAGCTACAAATACTGTTTTATTTTCTTTTATTTTTTTTTTCCATAAAGTTTATTAATAAACTCAGAGCATACAATAGGTACAGGTAATACAAGGTATCAGTCGGAAACACAATAGGAGGTAATACACATACAGCAAACAAAAAGATACATAGCAATACATAGGCAAAGAATCAGACGTAAGTCATCCCAGGGAATGTTTTAATAATATTATTATTATTATTATACAGGATTTACATTATATAGCGCCAACAGTTTGGCGCCGTGCTGTACAATATAAAGGGAGACAGTACAATTACAATACACTTCAGTACAGAAGGAATAGGAGGGCCCTGCTCCTGGAGCTTACAATCTAAAGGAAGGGGGAGTTGGTACAAAAGGTGATAGCTGCAGGGGATGATCTTATGAAGGTGGCTCAAGTACAGTTCTTAGGTGGAGGTGGAGGTGGGGTAGGCTTCACCAAATAGGTGAGTTTTCAAAGATTGCCTAAAGGCAGACAGATTGGGGGCTGACTGGACATACTGGGGTAGGGAGTTCCAGAGGATGGGGGATGCTCTGGAGAAGTCCTGGAGGCGAGCATGGAAGGAAGTGATGAGGGATCTAGAGAGCAAGATGTCTTGGGAGCAGCAGAGTGGGCAATTTGGACGATATCTGCAGATGAGGTTGGTGATGTAGCTAGGGGCAATGTTGTGAATGGCTTTGTATGCTGTGGTTAGTATTTTGAATTTTATATGTTGGGTTAGTGGAAGCCAGTGAAGCGAGGCCGACAGGAATCAGGAAGTACCATTTTTTCTTTAAACTATATAAAACTAATTATCCTTTAGAAAAACTATAAACTGCCATGCTGCTTCCATACATAGGTTGTAAAAGCAACATGTGTTTACTCATGTTTTATTAATATTCTTCTTGAGAATGCAAATTTGGATCTGTCTCTGTTAAAATAGAATTAAAGCCAACTTTTTTCAAAGATGTTTTTTCAGATAAAATAGTCTGGAATGCTTGTTATCATTACAAAGATGAATAAGGTTTATACCATACATTGAAACTTAGCATACATTATGAACCTTATCCATAAAGCATATATATATATCCTTATTTATTTGAATGTTGATAGTGATAATTAGGCAATGTAAATGTAATGCTGGCCATACACTAACAGATATCTCCATCCACAGTTTATAGCATGAATGGACCAACCTCCCACTGCAGCAATTGTATCCCGACAGTTGGCACCAACAGCAGTCAGAATTCCTGATTGGATGCAGCTGCTATTCGGCTGACAATTGTCTGATTAACAACCCATGTAGGACCAGTATAAACTTCATTCTATTTGTCAAACAGGGTTGCTGGACACACATTACAAACACCTATCAGACTCTCCCTAAACTCTGGTACATAAAATATATGTTGGCTTGTAGGGCACAACACACAAAAGTCTGTAGCTGTTTCCTGTGTATGTGGAGAAATGGAGCATACGACACGCTTCCCTGCATTTGGCACCTAGGACTGGCCCAACACCATTGCAATCTATTGGTTTGAATTTCTGTCACCGTTGTTGCACCTGTCGGATAATATATACATATTCCGACTGCAGCAGCACACAACCTGGATAAGAACACACCCACAACCTTCTGATTGGACAATGAGAGAAGACTGATTTCAGCATTGCAGTGCAGCAGAGCCTGGGTGATGCCTAAGGCCAGGTTCACACTGTGCGGGTTCCTTTTTCATTTGCATTGTATGGTGCATTTTGTTTTTTTGCTGTCGTGTTTTTCATGCTTTTTTTATGCATCTTGCATTATTTATTTATTTTTATTTTTTTAACCGCTTGCCTACAGGGCACTTATACCCCCTTCCTGCCCAGACCAATTTCCAGCTCTCAGCGCTGTCACACTTTGAATGACAATTGCGCGGTCATGCAACACTGTACCCAGATAGAGCTTTATTTTGGTGGTACTTAATTACCTCTGGGTTGTTTATTTTTTCTTAAACAAACCAAAAACCGCTGAAAATTTTGAAAAAAAAAAATGTTTTTTCTTAGTTTTTGTTATAAAATTTTGTAAATAAGTGGTTTTTCTCCTTCACTGATGTGTGCTAATGAGGCTGCAGTGATGGGCACTGATAGGCTGCACTGATGGACACTGATAGGTGGCACTGATGGGCACTGATGAGGAGGCGCTGGTAGGTGGCACCGATGGGCATTGACAGGCATCACTGATGGGCACTGAAAGGCAGCACTGATATATGGCACTAATAGGCGGCACTGATAGGTGGCACTGACTGGCACTGATAGGCGGCACTGACTGTCACTGTAAGACGACACTGACTGGCACTGATAGGCGGCACTGATGGGTGGCACTGATTGACAGCACTGATAGGTGGCACTGATTGGCATTGATAGGTGGCACTAACTGGCACTGATAGGTGACACTGAAAGGCATCTCAGATGGGCACTGATATGTGGCATTGATGGGCACTGGCACGTGGCACTATTCAGCACTGACAGCTGGCACTGATGAACACTGAGAGGTGGCACTTCTGGGGCCACACTGATAATCAGGGCACACTAATCATCAGTGCCCTGATGATCAGTGTACATGTCCCCCCGCGAAATGCCGATTACCAGCTCTCCTCTCCTCTCGAGCTGTCAGCGTGACAGCTCGAGAGGAGAGAAATGCCGATAACCGGCATTTCCCCGTTTACATGTGATCAGCTGTGACTGGACACAGCTGATCACATGACCGAGCCGACATCTTCGGCTCTTTCCGTAGATTGGTGATCTGCTGTGTCTGAGGGACACAGCGCACCGCCGATCGCCGCGCTGCGTGCTCCCTGAGCCGCACATGCGTGGTGAGAATGGGAGGACGTCATATGACGTCCTGCCAGAACGAGAGAACCACCTTGCGCCCGTCATTGGACTATATGGCGGGCTGGAGGTGGTGCCAATAGACAGAAGAGAGGACAATTTTGTATCATGTATAACGATCTGAGAGCACACGAGGGCAAATTTTTTCAGTACACATGGATGTTCATAAAAAGGTGAGTTTTGAACTTTTCCTGTAGCTACATATGTTTGTCATAACCTCCCTCTCCCACTTCCACCCCTCATTTTCTTTTCCTTTTTTTTTGTCTTGTGCTTTCTTGGTCTACTCAGCAGCAAGCTGGAGCGACAAAACACCTTTTTCCAGGACTCCTTCCTACCAGTAGAAAGGCTGATGATCACATTAAGGTAAGTGTTTATACTCTAAACTGTACAAGTAATAATGACAACGTATATTGAATTGCAAAAAACATTTTCTTTTCTTTCATACAGTTTTTTCATCAAAATAGTAAAATGTAATAAACTGTATAACATTTTTTTTCTGTAATTTTTTTTCTGAAGTTTTTTTATGAAAAAATACAAAATGGCATTGTTGCCAACATATTATGATACAAAATTGTAAAATAAGGCACTATAGGCTCTGATAAACTTGTTCCTCCTGAGAAGTATCATGCTGCTCAAGATCCTGGGGCTGGGGCTCTGCAAAGCGTGGTTTAGGTTCCCTGTATCTCTGGGGAGCATTGGCAGGTGGATACATTGGGCCCCAACTTTGCCCTTCTGGCACAAAGTGGGGCACAGGTGGCCCTGGTCGTGGCATAAGCTCCATAGGTGTTGCTGAAACATGATAGCAATATTGTGGTGCCTGATAATTTGGCCGCACAGGAGTTTGGTAAGCACTGTGCATTGAGTATGACACATAAGAGCCCCAAGTTGGTGTCTGCAGGGGAAAGCTTGTGGGTGGGGGAGGGTTGGCAGAGGTAATGAAGGAGGTCAGACACTGCATCATTGCAATACAAATCCCCCCTGTCTTTCAAGAAGAACTTGATCGATAAAGGGGACTAGTGTGTTTATGTACTGCTGGGAAAAAGACATTTGGTTTTTAAATAGAGCTACCAGCTCATTTAATGTATCAATCACGTAGAGTCATCCTTCTTGATGCTTCTCCCTTTTGAGACATAGTAGTTGATGGGCCTGCTCAACTCTTCCTCCACCTCCTACTCCCTCATCTCCTATGTCAACCTGGATATGGGCGAACCGGTAGCTGGGGTTCCAGGGGTGTTGAAGGACACACTCCCCAGGGTCCTCTGCACATGCCTGAGATTCCCAGCTGCTCTCCTTGCTGCAAATACAGAAAGAAGAAACATTATGTAATTCCAAATATTATTTTTATTTCAAATACAAATTATTGAAATGATGCTGTGATCCTAGCTTACCTTCTCATCTCTAGGATCGGTTTGAGAAAATCCAGGTCCTTAGCAAATTAGTAGGGGGTAAATTTGTTGCACCAGACCCACTCCTTGCTTGCCGTTCTATACACACCTGTCTATTGTAGGAGTCGTTTGCAGTCCGCCATCTTGTACACAACTCTTTTACTGCAAAACATAAAAATATTTTTTTCTTCTTCATTTCAGGTACCTTGCAACTGGACATTCTTTAGCCAGTCTACATTTTCATATATATGTTTACTGCTGCTTAAGGTAGAGAGACTTCCAATCTCCAAGCACAACTTCTCCTGTAGGTGGTAGCCCAGCACATGTGCTGCATAGATGAGAACACAGGAAGTCCAATCAGCTGCACTCCAAACAATCCACTTTATTGAACCAAGATAAAACCAATACTGATAGTGAAAATAAAGTGGGGGACTAGCAGGTAAACGTGTTTCACGCTAAAGACAGCGCTGATTCATTACCACAATAATGGTAAAACTGTCCGTGTGGTCTTCAAGAAACCAACAGTGGAAGAATGGTGCAACATAGCTGCTGTTTTCCAAGAGCACTGTAATTTCCCAAATTGTCTGGGTGAGATAGATGGGAAACATAATCACATAATAAAGCCAGTAGTAAGTGACAGCAGTTTTTATATCTAAAAAAAATATTTTTCATTTGTGTTATTTGCAGTGGCACATGGCAACTATTGTTTTACTTGCATAGATATTGGGTCTTAAGGGAGCAGCTCAGACTCGAGTATTTTCTCACACTCCTCATTTGGGCAAATGCTTCAAAAGAATGACCTGGGTCTTCCACCAAACAGTCCGCTACCAAGAACAAGGGTCCTGCTCTACCATACGTATGTATTTGTAGGTGATGAGGCGTTCACCCTCAGTGAACATCTGCTAAGGTCCTTTTCCAGTCGCTTCTTGGATATTGAGTGTTTAACTATTTCCTCACTAGGACCCGTAGAGTTGTGGAGTGTGCTTTTGGCACCCTTGCCAATAAATGGCATTTGTTGCACACTCCCATCCACCTAAACATGCAGCATGCTATAAAAGCTGTTAAAGCAGCATGTGCCCAGCATAATTTTATTCGGGAACGGGATGGATGTCAGTACGAGGACACAATTACCCAGCACCTCAGGGCAGCAGGGATGCATTCTGTGCCTATTTCATGTCTCCAAATGGTCAGGTTCCATGGCAACTTGAGGCTTTTTAATATTTGTGGTCGACTACATATAATTTTTAAGACAAAAATACTGCTATGAAAGGTTGATCATTAGCATTGTTAGGTTTGCAAAACTTCTGGTTATGTATTATAAACTTGGTTCTTATGGTAAAAAAAAATATTTTTTTTTATTTTGGGAGAAATTAAGGTAATAAAAAAATGATTATATTTTGGAGTTGAGTGGCTTTTTTTTGGTAATCTAAAAAAAAAAAAAAAAGTTACAGCAATCATGAGCTAAAAAGCTGAAACCAGATAATACAGATAGCACCCACTTTTGTTTTCTTTATGTTTCTTGCTGAAGGAATCCCATTTAGAATAGACTTCTTTTGCATTTTCCACCCATCCTTGATGCTGCTTTGATGTGTTCTTGTGTTCTGGGTTCGCAGGGATGTATAGATAATAGATACGTCCGGGACCTCACCAGCTGTATGAGTACCTCTGTGTTCGCCATGTTGCCTTTTTCTTGGATCCGACTTCCTAGTTTGCAGGGCGGCATGGGAAGTCTGTTGACAAGGGGAGGTGTTAGTAGTGAAACATGTAAAAAATGCATAAAAAAACGCACGCAAAATGCAGCACTTACGTTTTATATGCGGTCCAAAAAAACCGTGCCCGCAAAAAAAAAAAAAACGCATAGATGTGAACGGGATCCATAGGAAATCCTGATACATGGCATGCACTGCGTTCCTGCAAAATGCTAAATGCATAAAAAACTGTACAGGTGTGAACCTGGCCTAATACCAGCATACTTGATTCAAAGCATGAGAGCCAGAGTGCTCCAGGACCAGCTGTTTCTTAGTGATGGGTTTTGTATGCATTTGGTCACCCTGAACTTGCCTCCTTGCTGCATTACTATTTTTTTTTTTTTCATTTCAGTTTATGTCCGCTTTACCCATAACTCGAAATTAATCCCTAATCACTAAGCAAGATCTTACAATAAGCCAGTAAGAGTTGTCTTTTCACTTTAGTTAGGCTCCATGCACTCTGGGCTTAAAAAATGCCAGCTCCCTTGGCAGAAAAAACACACTGATATAGAGCGTTTTTTGTACACAGTTTAGGAGAGTTAGAGAAGTTTAGAGTTTTTTCTGCAAGAAAGCTTTAATAAAAAATGCAAACCAGAAGGGTTTTTTTTTCCTGCCTCTACCTGTTGAGCTTAAAATATGCCTCTAATTGTCCTAATGTGCAGGGACATATAGGATAACACTGAGCTGCTTCTACAGGCAAAACACAAAACTCCTGTAGAAGCAACTATTTTTAAGCTAGGAGCCTAAGATGCAGGCTTGTATATTTCTTTAGTGATTGCTTACCAAACAGTAGGACAGCTGTTGTACTTCTCACAGAACTATATAGTGTAATGCCAACCTGCCTAATATTTGCTCCAGCAATACAAGATGGAAACCAACCAGAAGAACATGGTAGATGGCGACATCCAGGCAGTTGTGATCTAAAGCAGTAAGTATATTACCTTGCAAAAGACAAAGCAAAAGGCACTTCTTGAGTTCCTGTCAGTCACGCACTCTTTTACTAACAATTTAAGTTGTCTATAATTTTGTAAAGCAACTGTATAAGTAAATAAACTATACTTTTTATAATTAAAAGCAGTTGAGCTTCATTCAAGCAAGTACTCTCTCATTGTCAACTGGCTTAAAAACTGGTCTCTTTGGGTTTGGAATAGTCAAACCTATGGACACTTTTCCAAATAGAGTTCAGCAGCCTCTTAGAAGGTTACGGCGCTATTGTCTGTTTTTTCAGATGTGCCTGCCTCAGGTTTGGTCATTTGGACACCCACACGTGCGAAGCTCCATCTCTTTCTCTACTAGAGAAGGAAGTTCCTCCCCTTGTTCTGAGGTACTGTGCTGGTCAGCCTTTGCTTAGCACAAACTACCAAACAGTAACATACTGTATATTCTGCCTTTTCTTATACATATTTTATCTTTATTACAATCACCCATTTTTTCTGCCCAGATAAGACTGAAAGGTATGTTCGCCTATAATTCCATACCATAGCATATCTGCAAAATCATATGGCCGTGTGGTCTGCTTGGTGCAGAACAGCTTTTTCTTCACAGATCAGCATCTCAGTTGGGCAATATTCCTTTTATGCATGGGTTGTGTTTTCTATTAACTCCAAAAGAAAGTCAATACACCACTTGGAAAATTAGTGTAGACTTTCCTTTGGAATTAATGCATGCATGTGCAGGAGGGACAGGGTCCAACTAGAGGATTTGGAACAAAAAGCTGTGCAGTGCCAGGCAGGCC